GTACTGCGCCGGAAGAGAACACTTTAAAGAAGTGTTAGCAGGGTTGGGGTATTTACCTAGAGAGGAAATACCGTTTAGAATTACTTAGCTTCAGTTTCGTGAGTCGGGGATGTGCACAGGATCCTAGTTAGGCTTTGAGATGTTTTAAAGAGAGCACGTTTCAGAGGAAGGTGTGACCGCGTGCGTTGAAGTTCCTTGGCTCCCCAGGAAGAGCGAGCCTAACGAATCAGAGAGAAACCAAGTATCACTGTGGAGCTTCCAAAACGCAGAGCTACTCAGGGAGGGAGTGCAAAGAAGGAAGCTTCCCCCACACCACGTTCGGTGTCATAACAGACACGTGTCAGTGTGTGTTTGTACACGTTCCCCTGGGTGGCGGCCAGGAGGGGCGGCCGCGCCAGCGTCTCCGGCAGCGCGCCCTGCATCCGAGACCGCTGCATCCACACGCTGCATCCACACGCTGCATCCGAGCCGCGTTGCATCCGTGTGCTGCATCCGAGCCCATTGCATCCATGCGCAGCATCTGAGCCCGTTGCATCCGAGCTGCACGGCTCCCGCTTTGCCTGCAGCCAGCGCTGAGGCCGGTGCAACGAGTTTGTTTTCATCTTTAGCTCAGCTGGGTCTGCATTGTCACCTGCTTTTATGTTCTTCATTATCAAGCGTTTTTACAGTCCTTTAAGGGGGCAGCATTCTGACCTTCTCAARCCAGAAGTACTTGAAAGATTATATCTTTTCTGTATGTAATAGAAATAATACGCTTATGCATATKCAAAATATGTATGTATATATTATATAGCAGCAGATATATAGAGAGAGCAAATTAATACCCTTTCCTCAAAATCCAGGAGTCCCCTGACTTTGGCWGTCTCAGATGAAGGCAAGTTTAGCTTCTGCTTTCTCTAGGGGTAGAATTGAGCCCCCCATGCTGAATACTCTTTGTCAGAGAGTTGTTGTCCTAGAAAGAGCCCTCAAGATGTGACTAGCGAGCTCTGAGAGTGTTCCTGAAAGCGGCGCACACCAAACCACATCAAACAGGAAAGCGAGAGCTTGGCACTTAATACTTGAATTGTCAAGTGCAAAATATAGTGTTTCAGAGAATTAAGACCCAGGAGATGAAAGAAGAAAAAAAATGCAGATTAATAGCAAAATGACACGGTGTCATTCTCTTATTGGGATGCAGCAAACTGCCAGTGACTCGTAGTCTTTTCAGAGTTCTGGAGAGAGATCTTTTTCATGTCTTTTTCACCTATAAAGAGGAAAGGAAACTTTGTTTTGCCATGAGAAATCAATAACCCTAAATTATTATTTCCTGAAGAGGATGGATTTGCAGCTGGATGTGCCTCTGCATCTCTGCCCTTAAAGGCATCYTCTGCAGGGTCCGTTTTCCTGGGGCTAATTCTGGCCCCAGGTCGATGACAAAGTCCCACCTGTCTGAGAACTGGTGTCCTAGACATGCCTTTCCCCCCGGGTCATTTGCTTGTCACGCTTCCGTCGCAACAGGAGCAGGAAGAAGATTCAGTTAAAGAAAAATGCCTCTCCTAGAGYAAACTTCTTTGAATGGGGTCACGGCCACGGAAAAACTCCCTCCCTGCTCACAATCCAGGGGATCGAGGCCGGGTGTTTAAAACATCCCCCAAACTCCTCTCGGTTGGTAGAGGMGATGAGTCCAGGGGCAGAAGTTAGGACAGAGGCAGCAGCCAAGCAGGGGTCTGACCTGAGCTGTTGACGTGCTGCCCTTGTCCACAACAACGAGAGAGGTGGTTGTACTTGGGTGGTTGTGCTCGTGGGGCGGTTGTACTTGGGTGGTTGTGCTCGTGGGGCGGTTGTGCTCGTGGGGCGGTTGTGGTTGTGCTCGCAGGGCGGTTGTGCTTGGGCGGTTGTGCTCGTGGGGCGGTTGTGGTTGTGCTCGTGTGTTCCTTGTGCTCCCGTTGCTTCCCTTCGGGAGCCGGTCCTTGCTTGGCCCTTGCTCGGATGCCACTTGCGGACGAGCCCCCTGCGAAAAGGGAGTTACAGAGCGCTCTGCAGGCGGTCAAGCACCAGGGCTTCAGATAAGAGGCAGTTAGAGGAAGACACCCAATTACCCTCCTAATTGTCTGGWGGCTTTCTCATGTGGCTCTGCAGCGATGTGGTCCTTTTGCTATCGCTGGCACTGCCTCGTTAACARTGGTTATTATTTAGCAGAGCATGATGCTTTTATTGTGTCTGCATCCTTCTCCAAAGCCACCTACTRCTCACAGGCATACTGTAAAATAGGAAAGAAACTCTTTTTTTTYCCCCTCCTTACATCTTATCATGACTATGTTCATAGAATCAATACTAGATTTTTGGAGGGACAGTCTATTTTTAAAATTATACATATAAAAGTCTTGCTCCATACATAAGTAAAAATCTATGCTAATTCCTTATTCTATTTGAGACAAATACGCAGGTTGAGTTTATCTTGGAGTTGTTAGGTTCTCTCAGGTGATAAGGCAAGCCTGTCTGCCCTGTGCCCAGGTACTGTTATGCTGAGAAGCCTACAGTTTTGTAAGAAGGAAAGAGCAGCTTTTACCCTTAGCCCTGTTCTTAGCTCCACAGAGCTTGTTTTCTTCTCCTAATGTCTTAAAAACTGTGGTCCATACAGGTGTAGTAACGTAGCTCATCACAGGAATGTCCTCAAATAGGATTAAATGACCGAGGCCATTCTGCTTTCCGTGCAAGGAATCCCATCCTCATAGACTGTTCAGTGCTAACACAGTAAGAGAAAAGATGCTGGTAATTTGGCTTGCAATAGATGTGAATAAATGATTGTATAAAGCAGTAACGATAAGCTTCCATTTGCAGAAAGTTTTTATATGGGTAAATGAAGTGAGGTTCCTTAGTGAGTTTGCGAAAAGGGAATCCAAAGTAAGGAGAGCATCAGGAGCTTAGCACGGCAGCTACGTGTGAAATCCTGAGAGGCAATTCAGGGAGGAAGAAACAAACTTTATCAGAGTGCAAATAGCTGGGGATGTCTGAAGGGGGAGAGCGAACGTGTCGGCCACCCTGTCGGACAAGCCGGGCTGTAGCCTGCACTTGCAGGAGCCGGCAGCTCGGAGGTGCCTTTGCTGATGAGGTGTCTTTCCTACGGGATGAGTCGGGATGCAGGAGGAGAGCTTTTCCTCAAAGCGCTTTATCTGCCTTTAGATGCYAACAGCAGCAGCGCGTTGCTCTTCTCCACAGCAAGAGCAAGGTGCCATCAAGAACRTGGGGAGGCCAGAAGGAGGTGGAGGTTCTACCTAAGCTGCAGCCTACCTCASTGTGTGGTGCTAATTCCTGTGTGGAAAGGTGGATTTTCAGTAGTTCAGAAATAGCCACCGTGGATGAGAATGCCGCACGGCGGAGAGCTGAGCGTGCGTGGYGGCGATCCAAGGAAACACGGCTTCTGGGCCCGGGTGCCCAAGACAGGAAGGGAAACGTTCCCAGACTCGAACCTGCAGTCTCCTGGATTTMATTTCTTCTTAATCTGCGTTAAATTTGGGCATGGACCAAGTGCTCGCTCTGCACTTTGCTTTAGTGTTCAGATGTGCATGGAGCAGGTGCACGTCAAGGTTTACCTCTCTGTTTGCTTGGCTGCTGCCTTTTGCTGTCTCTGCTGCCTCAAAGAAAGACTGATGTTGTCTTCTGAAGAGAAAATCAAGGTCTGCAACGTTTGCAGCGAGAGCTTCCCATGCGCCAACACGTGCGCTGACAGCCATGCATAGGGGCATGCAAAAACATATATATACACGTATATAGTGTGTGTGTTAGGGGAAAAAAGACCCTACAAGTGCTATAAAGGTGCAGCAATACTGGTCTCCTCCCAACAAATACGTGCGGGTTCCCACATGGGGCTCCTCCACCAGCTTATCCGCACACAGTGCCGAGGAAATGCACGACCGGCCCCTTCTGCAGGTAGGAGGACACGGGCACAGAAATTCTGGTTGTAACTGTGGCTTGTGCTGAGTGCGAACGTGCTTCCCCTGAGCGCACTGAAGTCCTTGTGCGGCTGAAAGGTGTTGCTGTGGGGATGGGTGCTCGCTGGCGAACGGCGTGCGCAAAGGCAAACACGCTCGCCGCTGACCTTGCCCAGAGCCCTGTTGGCTCAAGATGCCCGTCACYAGGAAAGATGAGTGATGGGAACAGCAAATATCGTCTTTTTCCAGCCTTGTCACCTGTTCTGCCCGAAAAGACGCCGTGTGTTGAGATGGTGGTTCCCAACACACCTCCTGATCCAAGAACAATCYGTGGGGAAGAGCGGGAAGAGGGACCGGACTGTGGCTGTGGGCCCCCATCCCATCCCTTGAGCTAGCTCTTTGCTAAGGKTTAGCCTTGGGCCCGGAGCGTGGGTCTCCCTTGACTCCTGTCATCATCAGAGGGACCAAGAAGCTCCTCCAGCGGCTGGTTGCCAGCCAGCAAACATGTTAGCTGACAGTCTGTCTGTCCGTCCTCAAGCCCAGGCGGTGCCAGGGCGCAGGCACAAACCTTTCCCAAGCTGCCAGCTTCTCCGGAATTTCACCTCTTCTTTCCATGACAGGCGCTTCTCCTTGCTCCCATTCCCAAGAGAGCCCAGCACGGTGCCTCRCATGGGTGCAGGAGTAATGCGGAGAGCCTCCGGCTGCAGCCCTGGGCTTTCACCTGCCTTCTTCGAGCAAAGCCTCCGTTCTGGTRCCAGGTGATGATAAACTGCTGCCGCTGTTCTCGATTATTTTACCGACCCACTTAAGCCCACCTTTGTATGTGGAAAATCAGGCTGCTCCGCTTGGCAGGATTTCAGGGCAGTGCCTGCTCTGGAAGGTGTTGAGCGACGTCCCTGCAGAGCCACCACGGGCCAAACACCGTGACTTTTGCAGGGAGGTGATGCTAGGGAGGTGATGGTTGCTCCTTGTGATGATGGTCCTCACGTGCRGGACAGAGCCCCACCAGCTTCAGGGACTTCTGTCTGCTCTGCTTCTTCAAACAGGAGGTGKTTTTGATTGTTTGTTTGTTTGTTTTTCCAGAAGGAGCTTTAAAACCTACCTGGAGAGRGCTGCTCCTGTGCGTTGGGAGTTTCTGTCCGTCAGAGCAGAGGAAGTTCCGCGAAACGTTTGGAAAGGCTTCACCGGTAAGAGTTGTGTGCCTGCTGCGTGCAGGGCTCGCGGGGCTCCTTTCTGCAGGCGGCCACACTTGCCAATTCCCGCAGTTCCCGCAGTATAACGGATGCTGGAGTCGGGACACCTCCGCGGACACGGCCACGGCGGCTGCTCGCGCCGGCCCGCGCGGGCCGCCGGGCGCCGCTCCCCCTGCCGGCGGC